GTGGTGGTGGTGGTGGTGGTGTATTCTCCTGTTCTCGTTGTTCCAAGTTTTGGGCCGTATCGTTGTTGTGTTATTGTTTTTACTGTTTCTCCTTCCTGTGACTTTCCAAATAAAAGCCTACATTATGCACTTCGTGGCGCGCCAAGCCATAACTTTGCGACGCGAGGTTGAAATACAACCCTAAATGGGAAAGATCAGACCCCTGCATCCTAAGCCCTAAACCCCACAACAACGATGCCAGACGAAGGACATGGAGCACATGTGCGAGCTCAAATATTTCATGTACATGCACAAGGATCCACTTCTCAGAGGCATCCAAGCCACCATCCAAGCATCCGGAGAATATGCTACGGATGGGTACGCGGATCATGATTATATGCCTATTCGACGCTCGCTTTGATCCCGGCAAGTGCTACGTATAGAGCGCCTCCCGAGACCTCAATAGCATCCATCCCGTTGGGGTTATCCTTAAGACTATAAGCCTTAGGCCACCGAATGAACCCTTGATCCAAAAGACACCTTATACTGAATGTCCATCTGGCCTTGCAGCCTGGCATTGCTGCTACCGATGGCTGGAGCTCGATGCCAGCGGAGAGGCCTCTTAGCAGAAGTGGCTTTGAGAACTTTTTCAGTTTGGATGTAAGGGTGCACATGGGCTTGGGGTTTGGGGATTTTACGGGTCAAGGTTTCAGGGTGCAATCGCTGCTGTTGAATAACAAGGTTGCCCGTTCCATCATCATAGCCGAGCCCCAGTTCTCTAGAGATCTGAAAAGGAAACATAAATCATGCTAAATACAAGTAGTACAGTGAAGCAGAAGTAGCAGGAGCTAGAGTGAGAGGTAAGAGCAAAATTGTCCGTTAGAGGATGGGTAAGGATAACTAGCTGCTAATCATTTTTAAGTGGAACCTATTTCTGACTTAATTTTAAATCAATAGCAAATGGATTTGATTTGAAGTTAAATAGGTGTTAACCTGATGCTAAACAAAGTTGATTTCAATTGAAGTTGAGTTCATTTTAATGTTATCTTACAAAGGCCGCGAAACGAATGAACCTGAAAAACAGTTGCGATTGCTCTAGAAATGTTTCCATGCATTCAAAGACAAATCCTCTCAGGTCCGTGAGGGGTAGCTCAGAAAGCAAGGTTTGATTCTTTGATTCCTAATGATGTTTGATAAGCAAAGCAGGTCTCGGAAGCAACTCTCTCTCTCTCTCTCATCTTAAAAGCAGCCAAGTGATGAAGCAAAACCTTCCTTGTTTAGAATAGGCGGTTTCAAGATATGACCTCCTGGTCGAGCAAACCCTTCACGGTTTTCTAGTGTCTGGAAATAAGTGATTTAACCTAAGGGTTTTCAGCGTTTTCAGGCCCAAAACTGCCTCTTCCTTCAAGGTGCTCTTGGACACCAGCTGCATGACATAATCACTTGTCTTGTGAACGCACCAAGCCCAGAAGGGACGATTGCACTGAGAAAAATACGGTCATCTATGTCTCAACTTGAGACGGAGGATCCCAGATCATCTCCATTGAGGACTGCCTGGGGCTCAAGGTGTTGCTGCTTGAGGGCTCAGGATCCCAAGGGCCCAAAGGCTACACCCCAAGCCCAATGGACCTCCGAAACTCTCAGTTCAAACCCCAAGCCCATGAGCTGTGAATCGTAAGCCTGAGCAACCGCTGTGACTATCATCGTCAATGCTGAATGTGCCACCCTGTTACCCACAAATGACAAATCTGCCTAGGGATAAGTACTCATCATAGATCCACTTTGCGAAGCTTCAGCCTTCAAAGATCTTACTCCTAGTCTTTCCATAAATGGCGCGTACAGGGCATCAGGACAGGAGATGCGTACTGTCCCTTGGAAAAAAATCTGACATCATTGGCATCTGTTGCGACGAAACACCACCAGGCACCTAAATGCAGTGGCCTGGAGGTGCTTTTCATCTGCACTGCTTCAGGAACTTCTTCAATCTGCAAATTTTTCTGCCAGATCCAGAACAGGCTCTCTGGAGCTCTTTACTCATTCCTAGGCCCTAAACCCTATCGACTCCGGATCCAACCACAAAGAGCCCATATGAAGTCGCTACCTGGCCCAGTCCAACAAAAAAAATCGAGTATATACTTGGGCTGAGTTCTGCGTACGTCAACCTCGACCGTGACCCTCCAATCCAAAAATCCCAAAGCCCTGAACCCTGCAACCTAAACCCCAAACCCCAAATCCTGAGCCCATAGACCTCAAACTGTCTCAAACCTGCTTGCCTTGTGGTGGTACATACCTGTCTCCGAAGAGGCTTGTAGCTGTGGAACTGGCCTCTTAGTTCAGGACTTTGAGGTGGTAAAGGGAAGATTCAGGGCTTGTGGGTTGTGTTTTGAGGGGTTTAGGAGTTAGGGTTTAGGTGGTAAGGATTTCCTTAAACCCTCAATCTCAATGTCTGCATTTTGAAGCCCTCGTACCAAAACGAGAGACTTATCCCCAAGCAGTAGATCCTCAAACACAAGCCACAGAAAACACTTGACCCGTCGACCTCAGGACCGAAGTTTCAAATCCTCAACCCCAACTCTACACGCAAAGTCAAAGTCCTTTAGGTCCAGGCCCTTTACCTTAAATTCGTTCCGCATCAGCGCTGTACTCTGAATCTTGAAGCTCTAATAAGGCCTGAACAATCCAGGCTCAGTCCTAGACTCTGGGCCTTAACCCAAACCTTGGAACCATCAGCCTTTGTTTCACCTAAAAATTAGTCCCTGTCCCGCTAGGGAGGAGCAAGGATCCTCCTTCAGGCAGCCCCGAATCATGAAAAGGATCCCTAGACCTTATCCTCAATTCCCCAAACCCAATTCCTGCAGGCTCCAGTATTATCCAAATTTTCCTCGTGCTGTCCACTTCATTCTCCTTTTGATTCTCCATTACATGACCCCCCAAAGCGACACGATTGATCCCTATGACCTTTGAACAGTCCCCCTTACGTAGATAGAATATTAGGGTGATATTGGGGTTATACAGGGATAATGGAAAAGAAAATGGAAACTACTATATTATAATAGGGTATATATTGGGGTTATAGTCCCCCTTAAGTAGGTAGAATCTATTTAAAAGTGAACCCAGGAACAGGCGGCCTATCGAAGCCAACCTTTGGAGGCCGGTGCAGGCCGGAGAGCCTCGCACGGGCCCATGGGTTACTTGTAGTTAGTAAGGAGTAAGGGATTAGGGTTTTGGTAGCTAGTAGGGAAGAAGGGAATATATTCCTTAGATGATCTCTACATAAAATATTCCTTTATTTCCTACTAGCCGCCAGTAAGATGGAGGGATGGGACCTAGGGTTTAGGATGCCGAGTGTAAAGCTTAAGGCAAAGATCGGTTAGGCATAGGGTTTTCAGTGTTCAGGAATTAGGGCTTCAAGTTTAAGGCTTAAGGTGATGTGGAACCGGGTAATTCTTCACGGTCTCCTACCGATGATTCTGCTAAGAACATATGGGTTCAGCATGAGGACTGCTTGGCATAGTGATGTGAGGGCTTACAGGATGGAACAAGTTTAGAGCTCAGGGTTTGGGGTTCAGACTTGTTGCTCCAATGGCATAGGGTTGTGTATGATTGTGCTCTTTCCTCTGCCTTTTATCACCTGTTGAGCTTGCTATCTGAAACCTCATGTTTGCTCTGCTTCTGAGGAGCTTTGCTGGAGCCGTCCTCATTGTTGAAACCATGTATTTGTCACTATAGGTCTGCCAGTACTACTCTTTTTAAAAACCCTTGAACAACTGTGCTTCCCTGAGGGCAAGCCCACTTGCAGCAACTAGGCTAACCGCACATCAGAAGACTCTTCAGCTTCCGCAAGACACCGTAGATGAAGGTGACAAAGAATCCATGCGCAGCCCTCGCAGCAATGAACCTGAAATCCAAAATCCTCAAATTTTGGACCTCGAACACCGAAACCGAAATCCCAAAGCCTCACCCTGAACGCCAAACACAAAAACAACAAATCCCTAAAACCTAAACCAGAACCTGCACGACGGTTGTTCTAGAGGCAGATTGGCCAGCCTGGCTGTCTAGGTTTTTGGGGCTGAGGCTTCATGTAGATTAGAGTTGAAGGCTTAGGACTCTAAGGCCTTTTTTTTGGGGGGGGGCTCTAGGGTTGCAGGTTCAGGGATCTGAGGTTCTACTTAGATCCAGTGAGCATTTGTCGTGTTCACAACTAGCTGTAGTATTGTGTATAGGGCATTGCCAACTGGCTGTGGGATACCCGCTCCATCCATGCAAAAGCAATTTAATTTCAGAGAGTCAAAGAGGCCACAGGTTTACCGGCCCAATGTTTTGGGTTCAAAGGCTTGAAAGAGCAGAACGAAGAGGCCTGAATAAAGAGAACATGGCTGTTAGCCCCTGAACCTTTAAATCCTTCAAGCCTAAGAAGCTCCTAAAATCCATGAGTCAAACTCTGAAACGCAACCCCCCCCCCACCCACCCACCCCTATCTCCTAAACTGCTGCTCTGTCAATCCCTCATAAATTCCTGCGCCTAAGGCATGAACCCTACAATGGCTTCCATTTTCTTTGCCATCCCTCCACTAATGAGCTTAAAATCTGAGAGCAATGACCACCAGTAAGCAACACTCCGCAAGGCTCACTCTGCCAGACTCAGGCTCTTTGGCCTTGGCAGAGGCAAGCAGGGGCTCCATTTGAACGGGGAGGAAAGTTACGTAGGGGCTTTTAAATGGGCTATAGAATCAAATTTTAACACGGGAGAGAGAGGCATGTGTGTGTATATATATATACACATATGTACATACATGCATAATAACTATATACGTACACATTTATAGGACGTGCCGGCTTGCGGTTTAGGGACTGGGGCTTCAAAACATCAACCGACCCTGCTTGCGAGTTCCTATGACACGGATGGTAGTTCTTTGAGGTTTCTGAGAGGACCCCCTTGCTTGGAAAAAAAAGATTTGGACAGTTCTGCAGAAGGATCAAAGGTCCCGGGCTCCAGGTCCATGCTTCAGAAACAAACTCTCGTGCAAAACGCGTGGATGGACAAAATTCTGGATAACCCTTCGTGTGCTGCACAACCATACTTCCAATGCGACCTGGGTGCGCCGAGTCATGTAGGATTTTGCCAGTTCAGAGTATCATAGCCTTGTCAACAGCCATTGACGCTTCCTGACCCTGTAGCTCTGAGTCCATCATCCCTTCATTGGCTATATGTTGCCTACACTGGACTATGTAGAACATTAATCTTAATGAGATCCCTTTGCAAGACAATCTGCCTCGGAATACGTCGGACTTGCAGATCTGGGGCCTCTGGAAGCCTTTCCCCTAAAAAAAGCAGACGTCGCTATGAAGACAAGAAAACTGAAAGAGCTATCCAAACAATGGCAAAACCCTAAACGGTACACCACCCTATATCATCACGAGCTGAGAGGGGGCCCACAGCGATGTAAAAAACAACCGGCCTCACATGCTTGACAAGCGGAAGGGGGCCAAGGGCCCTGCTGGTGTTTGGCGGATGCAGCTACTTGGGCTTGAGCCTGCAAGGCCTGTGCTGGTAGGGTCTCAGGGTTATTGGGGTTATAGGGGGATAATGGAAAAGAAAACGGAAACTACTATACTGGGTTATTAAGGGTTTAGGGTTTTAGGGCGGTGAGATTTGGAGTTAAGGATTTCGGCTTCAGCAGTTGAGGATTCAAGGTGGAGGGTTTGTTTCAAGTTGAGGGTTGAGGTATCCCGGGCTCTGTAGTGTGCCCAAGGCCTTATATAAAGGGGTGGCCTATCAGAGAAACTTGAAGTATACACATATTATAAAACCGTGGATTCCAGGGTTTACTGAGAAGGGATTGTGTAAGGAGTCTCCACTGTTTAGTTTGCAGTGTCACAACATACTTGACTACAACCTAATTCTACCTGGACGAAATACTGTTGAGGCCTGATCAGTGTACTACATCTCCCCCAAACGAACATGGAATCCTTTTGTGAAGGGGGATCCCCCCTAAAGAAATGTGGGACCCCAGTCTTAAAATCAACAGGACCAGGGTTTCAGAGCTCGGCAAAATGAATTAAACAAATTGAACTCCACAGGCCCACCACCAACATGATTAATTTTGTGCCGCGCATTTCGCAGAATGAGGACCCCCAAACGAAACAGGAGCTGAAAACATTTTTTTGCCAAACTTCGCGCAATTGAGGGCCCTCCACACGCGCAGGGACTCAGCATTTGCCACTTGAGGCGACAACTTAATTTCGTTTAACCAGGGTGCCTCCGCACAACATGAGAGGGAAACCCATAGCAATCTTCGCAGGGCCCTTGGTGGAGTTGCGCGCTAGCTTGCTTGAGGGTATGACCCAGAGGGTCCCAGTCGGGGTCTTTAGGATAAAGACTAGTAATCATTGCGGGCAACCGGCTGCTACCGGATCTTGAAAATGCCAACTTTGGATTTCTCCTGCAAAGGTCACACCCTGAGGGACTTGGGATATACCCAAAGGCTTCTGGCACACATTAACCGTGGATAGGGGGTATTGATATAATATGAATACTGGACATTAGGACCCTGCAAGAATCCGCCGGGAGCTTGGCATCCTCATGGAGAACTACATGGTGTAGGTTTTATTGGGTGCCATGTTGTGTTGCTACTAGCAGGCCAGCTTGGCACGCATCCACAATAAAATATTGCGCCTTTGAGCTGCGGCTCCACTTGTGATCCAGGATTTAGGGCGCAGCATTCGGGTTTAGAATTACGGTTTGGAGAAAGACTGAACTCGCTGGACCTTACCCACGAAAACTTTTTGGTGTGTGGCCACTCAGAATGAAACGAACTTGCCACTTTGCCTCAGAATCCTTACAATATCTCACCAAAATCTAAATGACAACTCTCATATCATCGCAATATTGTCCCCAGGAAGCACATACACTGCCCCGGCTAAAATGCCCTGGAACCATAAACGCTAAGGAGAAGCTAGGTTTACGCCCTCATCAAAGAGTGTCTCAAACTACGCCCTACAGTTATTTCTCAGGAATGGCCCCTGGAATCTCCATGTAGTCCCTATACATCTCTGAGCCTGGGGGCTCCACTTGCACTGCTTCAGACAAGGCAACAAACCCTGCACTCTAAATCGTGTGAACCCTGGTAGCAGGCTAACAGCTGGCACCTCGTCAGGCGCAAATTCCACGGTTCGTGTTGCAATAGGAGCTGCCCTCACCACCTACAACCAGCAAACAACAGTCAGCAGAAGCCTGGTGATCATAGTACTACACATGCTTGACAAGCCCAGGGACAGTGACGTACGGTTCATGGGTTTTAAGCATTCGTTTGCAGTGGTTTGGGGTAAAGACCGGCTGCTAAGGATTGTGCATCCGGCTAGATGAGCCCTTTCGGCATCTGTCTAACATGGGGAGATGTGCGGATCCCAAAGGTTCTCACCATATTCTGCACGAGTTCTGTTTCATCCAGTAGGTTGCCAACAGAATCTAACTTTGCAGTCTTCTGCATCGCGCGTTCCCTGGGGGCTTCTAGGGTTTAAGGGTCGGAAGTGTAGGCTTTAAGGCTTGGGGTCCAAGTCAAGTCGCCGGTATATCCGTCCTCAGGTCTTTACGTTGAATACGCTTGGGGAAAGCATGTGATTGTCAGGTACTGGGACCTTGAGGAATCTTTGAGTGCACTCATCACTAATGGTTTGTGATGAGATGCGGCATGAACCTACATTTGATACAAAACTTCCTGCATCAGGCAGTGTTCTCAGAGAAGCATGGCAATTCAGCTAACAGGTTGCGATGCATTCTTTGTGGTAGCAGCAGGAGGGTGAGCTCACAGAAAGCTGAGGAAGGGTTCCCACCTAAGGATTGTTGGTGCAAATACAAGACCTACGCACCAAGCGCAACAGTGTTGAACCGTCACACCCCAAACCCGGGCCTCTGAGCCATATGCCCCGCAACCCTAAACCATAAACCCTAAGCCTTTAACCCTGATGTTTTTAACCCTCAGCCCTAGATCCTCATCCCTGAAATGGGACCATCAGATTTAGCCTGTGCTGTTTGTCTGTGATGTGCTGTATCTGCACGTTCAGGAATTGGGGTTCTCAGTATTAGTTGACTGCAGGCTTTGGGGTCGCAGTCTCTTTGGGGGTTTATGTTTGAGCAAGGGATGAGGAATACAGCTAGACAAACACTTCGGAAGAGAGCCTCTACCAGGGGAGGACAACGTGTAGATCTCTCATTTTGCCAGGGCAGCACGTTTGAGCGGTAACATGATAGTTGACCATACTAAGAAAGCCTCTTCTAACTACTTAGGCTTCTGCATGCCTGATCCTAAATCTCAGAACCCTACAACCTAAATCACTACATGAGACTATGTCCCTAAGTGAATATTTGAACTACCCCTCCTTCCCCCCCGCCCCCGCCGCCACCTTGTGCAGTCGCCTTCTGCGAAGTATGCTCTCCAAAGCCTACACGCAGTCAATGGGAGCTCTACGGGTGTAATTTGAAAGTCTTCCCCTCTTCCCTCACTACTATAGCAACCCGCAAGTTTGTGACTTAGGGGTCTGAACAGCCAAGTGGTGGGCGCAAGTGGAATGCTGGATGAACCCCTGATAAGGACCCGCATGATCCAAATACAAGCCTCGACGATCGCCTGCAGAGTCTTGAATACTGCTGTCACTCCCAAGGAAAGAAGTTTCTCACAAGCATGATCAGGATATTCGGACCTGTGCTGGGCATTGTTGCGTTTAGGTGCCCGCGGAGCGAATGTACTTGTGCGGAGACATTTAATGAAACGCATCTCTTTCCTCAGCGGACGTCTGCTCTTGGGTCTGCTCCGGTGTGTTGAACAGTGCTGCGAAGGCCAACCTGTGCAGCACAACCACAATGTCTGCCCGGGAACGAATGTACTTCTCAATAAATGACGACAGGAATGTGAATGAACGTCAGAGCGGGTGAAACTCGTCACATCTTGCTTGTTAGGTCTCATGACCTCGTATGGATGTCAAGGGCCCTCACCGCTAGACCTGGAAGATCACAACTCCAAGCCCACTACCCCAAACCTTATCTCAGTCAGTACAGTACAAAGTAAGCTAACATACATTAATAAGTAATATGTGTGAGATCCTAGGTTGTCACCTGGTTCAGGTTAGCTTGCTTGCTTGCGAGCTTCCCTAAGAACCTCTCCTCCACCCTCATTAAGACCTCACCAAGCCCCAGCTAAACCGTAAACCTGAAACCATGAACCAAAAGTTCTAAACCCTTCAGTGAATCTGCCTTTACACCCTTGGACCCTTGCATGCTGCGTCTTCAAGGCCCCAGGAAGGACTTAGCAGAAAGCCTCCCATGTTTCTCCGCTGTCTGAGGATGCCAACAAGCTCAGGCACCTCACGCAGATGTGGCATGACGCGGGTTCAGGGTTTAGGGGGTCATTCGGGTCTTGGGTTTGCGGTTCTGAGGGTTTGGGGTTGACAACTTAGGATCCTGTGTGAGGTTTCTTACATTGGGGCGACGGGGTGCTGGGGGATGCTTACTGAGGAATCTTTCAGGGCTTTGCAGAGAATTGCTTTGAGATTGTATGGGATCAAGGGCCTCAAGGGAGTTGAGCCGAGGATTTTGGGCTAGTGGTCTAGGACTATTGAAGGTAGCTGCTTGCAAGCCGTGACCAACCAACCCACCGGCCTGGCGCTCTCGGCATCCCCAGGCTCCTTTTGGTCCATCCTGGTAAGGGCGGGGTAAACATTTTGGGGCCTAAGGGCCACAAGGACTAGATTAAGGCATGTGGCGGCAGCATAGCAACAATGCAAGGGGCTGCTGGCTCGGAGCCACTCATTTTAGTTCGACAAGGCTCACACTGACAGGAAACAGTTTCCCCGCTCAACACTCTATGCCTCCGAAACAGATGTAAGTTACGCTGCAATGCGCTCGTTTCCACTTCGCATGTGAAGTAGACCTCAGAGAGCTCTGTCAATGGCGTCAGCCGTCCATCGGCCCGCCACATGTGCGAATTACATCATTCCAGCTTTTGCAGCACAAGTACCCTTTAAAGGATTGTCACCAGGGGCTCTACTGATAGTTGATGAGTGAACACGGACGCTATGCTCAGTACGTATGCAGCATACCGTATGCATTGATCTGGGCAAAACTTCTGGCGAAACCCTCGATATCAAACTCTAAGCCCTGAGCCTAAGCTTGGTCTACCATGGCGCAAGCCTCAGACAAACCCTTGCAAAGCTCAACCCCTGGAGGCCCAGGTTCCTGTCTGTGTCTTTGGAAAGTTCGAATAACTTACTCCTTCCCAAAGGGGAGGAACTCAAATGCAAAAAGCCAGAGTTGTACTCTAAGGAAATTTCAGGAGATTCGCTTGCCCCTCACCCAAACCTACGGTGCAGTTCTTAGTGCCCAACTCTGCCAAATCTTTGATGTACAATCATTGGAGCCTTAAAGCCATAAATCCCAAAGCCCTACGCTTGATGCGAAACGCTTACACTCTTGAATCCAGAAGCTCTAGAGTCTAACCCGAAACAACGAATTTCTTAAATCGCGCTTGCGCTTCTCAAGTCACCGCCTGATCAACAGCTCCGTGCCGGCGATCTTCACTGCTGCAGCAGCCTGTGTCTGTTCTCGGGGCTGGAGCTGCCCCTTTAGATCCCCAAAAGACATGAGCACCGATCTTTAGCCTTTTAGGCTACTTTATGGGCTTTGGGCAGCTATTTTCCCTACTGGTTGGGGTCCAGGTAGTTGATTCAAGTAAGTTTCTGTACCTCGAATAAAGGAAAACATCTTGGCCTGGGTTGGGGAGTAACCCAGTTTAGACAACACTTCCGTTTGCTCCACATATTGATTTGGGATTGCAGGGAATCTGTGGGGAGCCCTTGGGAGTATTTGGGGAAGAGGCAAAGCACTACCCTTCTGAAAGAAGACTTCGAAAACCAGGCCCCCCCGCCTTGCAGTCAAATTCTATACCACACATGGATTCAACAGAATTGTAACCAGATTGCGCAGACAACCAACCCCAACGCCTATCGCAACTGTTCATGAATTCCTGTAATACGCTGTCCTCACTCTTTTAAGCAGGTAGAAACCTACCCAATCAGCCCCAAAATACTTAAACCCTACAGGCTTGATGACCCTCAATTCTAAAGCCATGAAACCGCAAAGCAGGAAGCCCGTTTCATCCTTACAAAACCGCCGTTTATCTCCCAGACCCTCCCTAAATGCTCGCGGCCGCCTTGCAGTCCCCAGCAATGTGCTCCGGAAGCGGGATCACCTCTGCCTGTTCAACAGAGAGGATGTATTTGGACGTCAATGTGTTCCAAGTTTAGGGCTCAACGTTTGAGGTTTCGGGTGTGGGGTCTATGGCTTAAGAATATTCAGGGCCTTGGCGTTTAGGTCGAGGGCTGCAACATGTTCAAGGTCTAGTCCAGGGCTTATTAGGGTTTCTGATCTGGGGTATAGGTGCTCTGTGCGAATTGTGTGCTTGGCAAGGTTTGGGGATTGGGTTAGGAGCCAACACCCGTGCGACTGAGGAATGTCCCCTAGCAAGGTCTTGGGAAATGTGAGAAGCTGTGAGTAACCGGAAAACCTGACTGCTTTGACTGTTGCCACGCGCAACCATAATCATAAACACACCCAAAGCGAGAACGATTCAAGCAACTGATAGACAACAACCAACCTTAAATCCCAAACTCTGAGCACCCTGGGACCCTAAATCCAAAATGATCCTAAACCCCGTGCACCCAAACCCCCCGAGCGTCCCCCAGCTTGCAGGAGCCCAAGGCCTGCAGATGCTGCCAGCCCACTGCAGCCAGGGAAGCCTCCAGGTGATGTGTTTCAGAATTTGGGGCTTGGCGGGGCCCAGGGTTCAGGGTTTCAGGTTCAGTCTGGTGATGTTGTTTTTGTCAGCTGAGGATTAAATTAGAATAACGTGCTAGCTCGTTTTGATTTTGCGCCCGGAAGTGTACGCCATAAATCCTCACGAGCGTGAGGGGATAGGTTTGTTTCCGCCGCATCCGCATTCAACCTGGCCCAGCTACGGGGTTTAGGGATCGAGGGATTCTAGAATTTATGGGGATTGAGGCTATGGAACTATGCAGTGACACTGGGGCTTGGTGCAGGCTCAGGGATTTGCGCGACCATTTACTAGCGGGTTCCTGGCACTAGCAGTAGCAACCCATCACGCACGACGTTGCTTGAAGCTCCTTCACACACAGGCCCTTCGTGCGGGGGTTTCGCGGTTAAGTTTGAAGACTAACCCCTGAGGCTAAACTATCAAGCAAATCCATCCTCCTCAGCATGCAGAGTTCGAGCCTCTATCACCCGGCTGACAGATGCTTGCATGCCGGCGCTGGGACTCGCAGACCTGGGAAATACCAGGGAAGAAGCGCATGCCATACTCGAGGCTCAAGAGGAATTGAACGGAAAATGCACAATCAAACAGAAACTGCAGCTATATAGAGGCTATGTGGGTAGGGACGCAAGGAACTTAAATCGGTATTTATACAGGGATCTATTCAGGATCTGTTGGATAACCAAGATGGCTGACATGTCTCTAGCCAGCAGATGTTGTTCTGCATCCAAGGTGCCCTAAAAGCCAAGTAACTTATATGTTGGACTTGCTACCTCTTAGTCCCTACATGCAGGAAGAAGTAACACCTACGACCCAGGAGCATGCTCCATAGGTAACCGGGCGCCTACGGGGTAGCATACCCGGAAGCGGCCTAGGAATGCATCCTCCTGCTACCACAAGATATAGGGAGCTGTTTGATTCCTTTAGCACTGCGTGGATGAGGTGGGATTTGGGAGTAAACTGTGGCTGGGGTTCAGGGAGGGGAGCTTCTCTTTCACGTGGTGACGTGGCATTCGGAAGCTACAGTTTCTTCAGGAAATCTAGTTCCAAGTGCTTTCGTAGCTCCTAGGTGCCTAGCATCACATGTAATTGGACGGTACCTCGTTCCGCAAAAATTCTGCTCTTCCTTCCAGCTGCCGAAATCAGCACCGGACAAAAATATGGATCAAAGCTGACTGACGCAACATGCAGTGCGGTCACCTGCCGTTTTACTTCTGTCACTGCAGCTGCAAGAACTAATTGTCTACTGTAGACTACTAACTACGCACAAGAAGCATTAACTTGTCAGGTGCTCATACATGGAGCTTCCAAGCCCAGGATGAAGCAAGCGTCGCGCATGTCTAACCCCCAAAACGAAGACCGAGATTTTGAAAACGCACTGGTGCGCCCCTGACGTGAAAACTCAGTCATTGCGCCAGACTTCTGTGAGGCTGGAGTTCCAGGCCTACTTGGGCTGTTTAGAGTGATGAGTGCTCAGGGTTTGGATTTAGGGATTTGGGCATGAAACCTTAGGATATAATCCACGCCGCCCAAAGGCCTTGTTGGACCGTGAAATCTGAAATTCAGATACACCTAAAGAAAGACTTGTACTTTTTGGGGGGTCCCGTTATTTTATCTGCACGACGCATTCCTTGGCTTTTGGAGACTGTCCTACTGGCAGCCTGTGCTAAGCCGGCAGGCCTAGACTGTAAAACCATAAGCTGCCTCACCTGTTCTGGAACCCTCCTATACCCTCCAATGTAGTTCCCTTTTGGGTTTGGTATGTTTTTTTGTTAGGATTCTTATTAGGATTACCGAAAAGGTACTACATTGGAGGTTCTAGGCTGGCATGAACTATGATCTGGGTCGGGTATTGGGAGCAAACCAAGGCGAAAACTATTTTGAGGAAACAACTAGGTGCACTCCCATCCTGCAGCGCAGGCAGAAGTGGAATCCAAAAAGGGTCACTGTAGACGAGGTCCGAAACCCTAGCCTGAGTTGACTGTATGGAAAGAACCCTTAATCCTCTATTGTGGAAAATGGCATGGGGATTTGCCTTGATATTCGGGATCTTATAGGGAGCCAATATACAATCCGCCAAAATGCTTCTGGCGAAATTTTCAGGCAGGGACGCAGAAGCAACGCATGGGGATGCCGTTGCTGAGGCTGCATCGGCTGGGCAATCCTTGCATGTGGATTTCGGTTTCTATAAATTTTGTCAGAGTTCGGCACAGTTCAGGGCTTGGGGCTAGGGTCTTCTCAGCGAGTCAGCCGCAATCCTCGCGCTGCTTCACGGGGTGTGGAGCCTGAAGAGCTTGGGGGTGGAGAAGGTAGGGTTGGAGGTTCAGGGGTTCAGGACGTTGGTCTTTGGAGTTTGACTCAAATTCTGACCTTGGAGGGCAAGCGCCAAGGCGTTTCACCTCTAGACTTTGCAGCTTGAATCACCTGCTCAAGAATCAAGAGCATCCCCTCAGCCGCCAGATCCTAAAGTGTCGAGCATGAACACGAAGCTGTAAAAGCCCGAGCCCCTAGGCTTTTGCCTTCCTGACCACCAAAACCACAACCTCCATACCTTCGAACCCAAAGCATGTGAACCCGGCCCGGAAGGCATGAACCCTGCACTACATACACTGACTCAAAACTCAAATTCCTAAACTCTAAATCTTCATTTCCATCGGCAATCTCTAAACACCAACCGCTAACTAAACAAGGAACTCTTAAGTCAGAATACTAGAAAGGCCATAGCCAACATCACATCCGCGCCTCCGTCGTCGTGTCAACAGCTTTTTCCACGGCTTTCGGCTCCTCCATCCAGGGCCTTACTGGGAGAAGGCTTTCAGGAAAAGGCCGCTAGACGGTGTATGCACTGCTTAGATAGTACATAGATCAACTCATGCGGCAAATGAAGGGCTTATGCATTTAGCCTTAAGGTTTGGTTTGACGTGTAGGTTTCAGGAGGTAGGGCTCGGGTTTTCGGATGTCATTGCGGTCTAGGCTACACGATTTAGAGTGGGAAATGTTCAGCAGGTTACCCGCAACCAAAAGCACTGTGGCTGCCTTCCTCCTGCTGGCAGCCGTGATTTTCTATCTACCTGAACCTGAAAAGCTGGTTTCTTGCGGGAGCTAATGCTTCTTGTCATGCCCTTGCCCTCTTTCACCCTGAATCTTTGCCCAAAAAGGTCCGTCCGCGCATGGGGCTTAGGTTTTGCAGCTCAGGCTTTTCACGGGGCAACTGTGGTGCTCTTTTGGAACCTGTTGGGGAACTCCGTGCCCTAGAAGTGCTCTGTGCATCCGGTAGAGGCAATGAACGGGTGCGGTGGTTAACAGAAGGTTGGGAAGGACTCTGAAGTCGTAAAGGTATTCTTGGGCTAGCTATACCATGAGAATCCCATACGCCCAGGAAAAAACCCAAATCCAACATTCTCTAAACCCTATTATAACGTTAAGCCTTGTGCAGAGCCCCCCGACATCCCGGACCACTCGGTTGAGGTTGAAGATGGTTTTCAAATTTGGGGGGTGTGAAAGCTTAGGGCAACAGATTTACGGTTTTCGGACCTGGCGGGTATAGGGTTTTCTCAGCTTTCACCCGAGGATGCATGCAGCTTCCTGAAGCCCCAGACCCAAACCTTCAGCCACATATTCTTCCCTAAAGCACGACGGAACCGTTGCACTTGCACAAGATCTTCAGGAAAAAGGCTACCCTTCTTCAAAACAATCTGCACTTCCTAGCAGTCCCGAATCCAAGGTCTGAAGCCAAGATTTAGAATCCTAAGCTGCTAGACCTTACATCCCTTAACCCCATAATCCTTAACCTAGGCATACTTTGCTAATTCCCCAAGGTTCGTTAAGCATTAAGCCCCAGGAGCTCAAACCATCAAACAGTTCACTGGTGATAGGCCAGAAGTCCTGATGCCCTAAGCGCCTCAACCCCATACCAGCCCCAGATACATCCTATGTTGTATATGCATGTCGTAAACATATATCTATGTATATATATATATCTGTAAATACATACATACGCATGCGTATATGTATTTCGCATACGTAGAGCAACCAACACCTGAAAAACGCATTTGCGAACCAATGGCCAGGATCTTGACAGCACAGCCAGGTTCCTAACCCGGAAAGAAGGGGATAAACACAACATTATTTTTTATGGGATGAATGCGGGTTCTGCATGGGTTCTGCATACGTTGGGAGCCACTGTCAGATAAGAAAACCAGGCTTTGTCAGGAGAAGCTCCCCAAGCACCAGACCCATCTTTGGGGCCATTCTCTGGCGAAGCATGGGCCTCCAGACCTGCTGCACAAGCTGTTTCAGAAAGGTTGGAGTAGGGCTCGTATACTTTAGGTTACATAAACCTTTGGAAAGTTAAAACGGGGCTGATACGGGGCAGATGCACTTCGAAATCTGGATTTTGGAAGCGGCTTCATTCAAAGCTAGGGCTT